CAGTTCAGAGACGACCAGATGAAGGAAATGGAGTGCTATTTGAACTCTCTTAGAAAGGCGGAGCCTAGGGACATCAATGTGATTATAGTGGACACTGACATACACGACGCACTTAAGCAAAGGCAAGTTTCTGAACAAGGAGAAGACATCGAAATGGCGGATGCTTTGAAGAAGATGCAGTTATTGAAGTAATAATAGCCCATAAAGAAGGGAGAATTTGCTGAAGAAGCAGTTAAGTTGGATGAGCTGGACCCTCGCATCATCAATTGCGAACCTCAAACAGCCACATTGGAAGAATTGGAGAGTTTTCCGGTGAATCTCCAGGATTCCTCCAAATTTCTGCAGGTTGGAAAATATCTTCCAATAGAGATGAAGGAGAAATTGAAAAGGTTATTGTGACAAAATTTGGACATCTTCGCTTGGAAGCATGAGGACATGTTTGGCATTGACCCAAGGGTTAGTTGCCATAATTTGAAAATTATCCTAAGGCTGCAGTTCATTGACAGAAAAGGGAAGCCCTAACTTGGAGAGCTACGAGGCCTTGAGGGACGAAGTGAAGAATCTAGTTGGTAATCTCTTCATCCAGGAATCAATATATTCGAATTAGGTATCTAACCGTGTCCTTGTTAAAAAAGCATAATAGCAAGTGGAGAATATGTGTGGATTTTTCCAAATTAAACCAAGCTTGCCCCAAGGACAGCTTTCTACTTCCATAGATAGACCAGCTTGTGGACTCAATAGCTGGACAAGAACTGCTTAGCTTCATGGATACTTACTCAAGCTACAATCAGATCCCAATGTTCCTAACTAATGAAGAGCACACTTCCTTCATAACAGACATAGGTTTTTATTGCTATAAGGTGATACCTTTCAAGTTGAAAAACATCGGAGCCACCAATTAGAGACTTGTTAATAATATATTCACAGACCTCATTGAAAAGGCAATAGAAGTGTATGTAGATGACATGCTAGTAAAAAGCCTGAAAGAAAACGGTCATGTGGAGCACTTTTGAGAGACTTTTCGAATACTATGAAGTTACAGAATGAGGTTGAACTTCCTAAAGTACGTATTCGGAGTTGCCTTGGGAAAGTTCTTAGGTTTCATGGTTAACCAGAGGGGCATAGAGGCTAATCCTGAAAAGATTAAGCCTTTAATCCAAATGAAGTCGCCCCGGAAGCCTAAAGAAATTTAAAGCCTTACTTGACGTGTAGCAGCCTTGAGTTACTTCATCTCAAAGGCAACAGATAAATGTCCTCATTTCTTCAAGAGCTTAAAGGGAGAAAAGAACTTTCAATGGACGGATGAGTGTGAGTTAGTCTTGTAAAAGCTGAAGAAGCATTTGGGACATTCTTCCCTCCTCTCCAAGTCCAAGATTGATGAGCCTTTACAATTGTATCGACAGTTACTACCGACACTATTAGTTCAGTACTTATGAGGAAGGAAGGTGATCACCAACTGCCCGTTTATTATATGAGCAATGCACTGTTGGCAACAGAGACTCGCTATCCAAACATGGAGAAGCTGACTCTTTCATTGGTAACAGCTTCCCAAAAATTGAGGCTGTATTTCCAGGCCCACACCATAACGTGCTAACTAACTTCCCACTTAAGTAAGTGCTCCAGAAGCCTGATGTCCCAGGAAGGATGATGAAATGAGTTGTAGAACTTAATAAGTTCGATATTGTGTTCAAGCCAAGACCTATTATTAAAGGACAAGCCTTGACAGATTTCGTGGCAAAGTTTGCCCATATTTCGAAAATGGAAGAGAAAATGGAACCTATTGAACTCCCCACCTGGAGCTAGTTTGTTGATGGTTTCTCTAGGGACACATGATCTAAAGGGAGAGTAGTTATAGTCAGCCTAGAAGGGCATAAGCTTAATTATGCTATGATATTTGGATTTAAGGCTATCAACAATGCTGCAAAATACGAAGCCCTTCTAGCTGACCTCAGATTGACTAGGAAAATGCAAGTAAAAAGGCTAACTATAGTAGTGATTCTCAGTTGGTAGTAAGCCAGGTCAATTACAATTTTTCAGTTGGGGATAAGAATAGGGCCGCGTATTTGAAATTGGTGATTGAACTTGCACCAGCCTTTGAAAGGTTCGAGTTGGCACATATCCCACGCATAGAAAATGCTCATGCTGACGCCCTTTCAAAGCTGGCAAGCAGTAAGGATTTTGAAGTTTTTACTATTGTGCCTACATAACATCTTCCAAGAAGTGGTATGGATCGAGGACATTCCCCCATGGATGTAGCCTATCATAGCATTCCTTAAAGATTAAATATTGTCCTCTAACAAAGAGGATGCACAGAAGCTCAGAATGCAAACTGCACACTTTGTCTTTCAGGATGATGTGCTGTGCAAGCGAGGGTACATAGGTGGCGAACAAGCCACCTATGTACTTCAAGAAATTCATGAAGGGGTTTGTGGTAACCATGCGGGAGGACGAGTTTTGGCACAAAAGGTGCTGAGGTAAGGATACTACTGACTTACCTTGAAAAGTAATGTGCAACAGTTCGTCAGAAAGTGTGAAAAGTGTTAGCGTTTTGCGATAATACAAAGACAACCTTCCCATGAATTAAGCATCGTCTCCATCCCTTGGCCTTTTTCAAAGTAAAGAATTGACCTCATAGGACCTCTACCAAACGGAAGGGGTAGTGCCAGCTTCACAATTATCGTCGTTGATTATTTTACCAAGTGGGTAGGGGTCGAACCCCTTTCCAAGATTACATAAGCAAACACTTCCAAGTTCTTATGGAAGAATATCATTTGTAGGTTTGGAATCCCCCATTTGATTGTATCTGATAATAGATGACAGTTCGACAACAAGAAGGCCATGGACCTGTGCGAGATGGTAGGTCAAGAAACACTTTCCCACCCCACCATCATCGGGCTAATGGGCAGGTGGAAGCTATCAATCAAACTATCAAATACACGCTCAAGAGAAATTTGGATGCTTCTAATGGAGCTTGGGAAGATGAGCTACCTTAGTACATGTGGGCTATCTGAACAACTAGTAGGACGGCTATAGGAGAAACTCCTTTTTCTATAGCTTACGGAATAGAGACCATGAGTCCAGTTGAAATGGGTTTACCCTTTCATCGTTGCTTACTTTTCAATAAAATAACTAATGACGAGTTGAGGAGGTGCGAACTTGATTTCCTTGATGAAATGATGAATGAATCTTAAGTATATTTGGCTGCCTACCAAAGAAATATGACTTGGTACTACAACTCTATGGCCAAGAAGAAGTCCTTTCGTCTGAACAACCTTGTGTTATGAAGGGTACTTTTATCTTCTAAAGAACCAAGAGTGTGGACTCTTGGTCCCAACTGGGATGGCCCTTACCGCATCAAAGATGAGGTTCGACCATGATCCTGTAAAATTGAAAGTTTGGATGGAAAAGCACAGCCTCATCCTTGGAACGTAGAACACTTGAGGAGGTATTATTAGTAGAAATGTAAATACTTAATTTGTACAATTTTCTTAATTCAATGAAAGTGGCTTTGTTAAAATTCTTGAAAAGAAAAGTGCCTTCCAGAGGTAAAAGTCCTAGGAAAAATCCATGCCTCATAGTTCAGCCACCAGGTAAAGAAGTGTGGGCACTTCGACAAAGATATAGATCCCAAAACAGATCATTTCCTTACTTGCTGAAGTGGACAACACATGCCCTCAATGATAGAAGTCATTGAGGAGGCCTCAATATGGGTGAACCACTCAACCATGTGCTCAGGAAAGACAAAAAGTTAGAACGACATATGACTTTCTAACATTTGTACATATTGCGAATTTTAAATAAGTTAAACAAGTCTCAATCAGACTGAGGCACACTGCGAAACAATAACATAAGTAAAGATGTAGTACAAAATTTAGGAAATAAACACAAGTATGAAGAAAAGAAATTTCATTAATTGAGGAGCTTATTACAATTGGAGGCCAAGTGCTAGTTACATAAAAAGAAAAGGAAAAAAACTAAATCTAAGAGGAAGGGTCATGCTGGCCGCCAACAACTGGGACGATGGCATTATGAGTCACTGCCTCATTCTCAGCTTGTTCAACCCTAGACTCTTCATCGTCTTCTAGTTTAATTACGTTACTTCCGTTGGCTGGGTCTGGGGCTCGCCTCTTTTCAAGAATTATGACTTTAACTCAGACATGTTGAAGGATTGAGAATTAACCTTAATCCATTCCACCATTCAGTATAAGCGAACCTCCGCCAATACTTAGTGAAACGCTCGTGCTCTTTTGTTAGGTGGAAGCTAGCTATGTAACGCTTCATCCCGAGTTGCCTCCACTTCTTTGGTTAGGCCACTGATTCTGGAATTTAACCCATTTACCTACTGTTTCAACAAGGCACACTCTTTATTTGAAATCTTCAAGGCCTTGGCAGTAATTTGCTGATGCATATCTAAAGTCTTCACTCGCTTAATAAGGGAAGCCACTTCACTCTGCAACAAGTGGACTTCTTTCTTCAAATTCTCAATCTCTGCTAAAGTAGAGACGAGTTTCATAGAATCCTCAGGTTGTTGTTTTTTGATGGCCTTAGCATTAGAATTTTATTTCTTGGCCTCTTCCTCGGCTCGGGAGGCCTTGTCAATGAAATCTTTATTTTTCTTTTGAAGGTTTTTAAAGAAGACTTCAGCCTCTATGGCCATACCAAAGGCCCTCATCGTTTGGTTCGCCATCGTAGTGAAGAGGTCATCTGTATCACTGTATTACACGAACTTCTACCACCTTTCTATCCAGTACCTATGAAAGGTGGCGGTGGTCATTTGAAAGATGGCTCTCCCCGGGGGAGCATGGTCAGAGCTTTTGGAGCCAGTCATCATTTTTCGTTAAGGCAAGCTTGACCCTAGAAGGAGCTCCATCATTGGTAGATGAGCTTTCACTTGTCCTGCTTTTCTTAGTCTACTCCTACCTCAGGGGGCACAGCGAAATGGGGCCTCTTCGAATCCCCCTTAGTAGTAATAATGGAAGATGCCATCAATTTTTCCAGCAATGACTGGAGGTGGGGGGCCTACTGCTGATCTTCCTATGCCAGTGGACGAAAATGGACGCTTCTTCTTGGGAGATTACACAACCTTTTCCTTCTCCATATTCTTTGGCAAGGAGTGCCCCTCAGATTTAGCAGCCTCCCTGCTGTCACTCTCTATTCTGTCCTTGATCTGCTTGGCCGCAGCAAATGAGGGCTTGTGTCCCTTCTTCCCGAAAGAGGAGGTTGCGGCAAAAATCGAGGCTATATTCGATGCGCGTACTTTTCTTCTCAAAATTATCCGCAAACAAAGAAGCTTAAGTAAACTATATCTATTAAACAATAAGCAAAAAATTGATCAAAGTTCTATCTCTTCGAGCCATTATAAAAAATTCTTCGTAAAATCTCCGATGTAATATGAGGAACTCGAACTCGCGCAAAGATGGGTGGCGACAATAGATGTCCTCTACTACACTCAATTCAGCTTCGAAAAGTTTGAAACGATCGGCTAAACCTACAAAATAGAGAAGGTCAAGATACCATAAATATGTGATAAATACAAGTAACCTACATAAAATCAAAGATATACCTACGAGTTTCTGAGTAGTGGGTGGGAACTGTTAGCTGAGGGATCCTATCACCCTCACAAATCTGCCACCTTCCCTTGACCTAAAACCAGGTCTCGTTCCACCCTTTGATGGAGGAAGAAAGACCTATCACAAATGGAGAGTCGGCTCCCCAAGGGTAATACAGAAAATAATGCATCGAGATAGATATCTTTTGTTTTGAATCTTCCTTAGTAAGAATCTATTGGACTCACTTAACTAATCAGTGGACAAAACATTTTGAATTGTAAATAGTTATTGCAAGCCTAGACAATATATCAAACACGTTATCTTTGATATCAAATTTTGGTTATCTATTATGTTCATTATTTCGATCATTAACTCTCCTAGGTTTTGTAAATCATTAGAGAATTTACCTAATCCCCTATTTGAGCTCCATTCTTTAAAAACACAATTTTTTTTTCAAATTAATTTTCAATTACACATTCTTTCAATAAAATAATTTTTACACATAAACTAAAAGATTTTTCATAATTTTTAACCACACATTCTCTATATAATCATTATTATAAAATTCATTTTTCTAAATAAAAAAAAGGAAGGGGTGCTAAAACAAGCCCTAAGTAAAATTCATATTTGAACAGGTCAAGTTCATAATTACATAGGTAATGTTCTATATAGTACCCTGCAATACTCCAATTATACTCTTTACAAAATATAATCATCATTAAAAGCATAGTTTATTCTAACTAAGCTCTTGTAGGTAGCACTTAATTGCATCTTAGAAATATGAAGGAGCTACAATTCCTGTTCTTAACATCGAGTCATTCATAACTAGTTTTCCCATTCAACTTGGGTTTGTAGGATCTCCAGTCGATGCCGGTTAGGTTTCATCGAGTTGACACATTTGATTTAGGCTATAAACATATTTCCCTTGTTATGCAATATATTCTCTTTCCAGATAACAATTTTATAAATTGACGAAACAAGGGCAGTTCTACCATCTCTTCAAAATTTTGGCGATTTAGAGACCTTTTAAACCGGAGCCACAACAATGACGATAAGGACATATTTGACCTCTTCACTCCCAAAAAACAAAAAGAAATGTGAAAATCTAAAGTCTCTTGAAATCGGGTTGGTGATGGCAGTAGTGGCAGTGGTTGGAGATGCAGCGTCGTGGGGATGGAGATGGTGGTCGGCGGTGATTGGTTTTTAGGTTTTTGGTTTTGGGGATGGGAGTTTGGGGTAGGGTTGGAGAAGATGAATTTATTTTTATTTTTTTGGTTTTATGTTTAATTATTTGAATTGTTTTATTTTAGAAACTATAAATTGACCATTTTACCCTTCATTTATTTTGTAAAGTTGAGTCAAAGTTCTAATTTTTGAGTTGACTAATGGATTTATGGACGGATTATGTTCATTGTCCTTCGGTTACAGTCGAAGAGAAAGGTTTGGGACTGTGGGTGCAAAAATCAAAGGTTTGGGTGTAATTTGTAGCAAATTGAAAGGTTTGGGACCTCCTCTGCAATTTTCCCTTTATTAAATGATGAGAAAATTAGAAGAAATTTTGTGGAGTTACATTTTATTTATTGATGACAACTCAATATTACGAGGTACATTAATTAATAACTCAACCAATCTTTGTAAATTATGAACGTTGAGTTGTTAATCAAATGTATTTACTGCATATAACCTCAGATTTTGAAAATTTAGCAAAAAATCACATCATATGCACATGTGTGCAATCCAGCAATATAATTACTTCACCCTATTTATTTTTATTTCACAATCATTACTTTTCAGTGATATAAATTCGCATGCAAGTTTTCCCTATAAATAGTAAACTCCGTGTGCTCTTCACAACGTATAAACTTTTCGTACATAAACATCGCACCCAATCCATGGGGATTCTTCAACAGATTCCTTTGTCTTGTTTTATTTATGTGCTTCATGCCCAGAGGTAAAACAGTGCTTACATTTTTCTTTCTTTCACATATTAATATTAATTTTTCCAAATTTGATTCCATGTTCTAGGCAGTCTGCAAAGCTCAACCAGGAGCCTTAAGGACATTACAATTAAACAAATTAGAACTGGAGCAAAAATACAGAATAAAACGGAGTGGAAAGTGACGGTCACCAATACATGGTTCTGTGCCCTTTTGCAAGTGACACTACGTTGCCCTGGATTTGATTCTGCTGTTATACCCTCGTCTAGTATAGTTTCCAAGACCGGCCCTAAGCTATGCCTTATTAACGATGCATACCCTATTTATGGTGGAACAGAATTCACATTCACTTATGGTTCGGATCGAAAGATTGCATTTGCTCCATTTTCCTACGATAATGTATGCTCTTGAATAAATAATTTGTTGTTGATTGCAAGTTTTATTGGATAAAACCTTGTGAGGTTGTTGCTTTATACATGAAGGGGTGACGAAACTTTTAGTGTGGTTTGGTATTGTTTAATTAATTACTTGGAATTAATTAATGCAATAATTGTTTAGTTTTATGGATATGTAGAAATGCTTTTATTTGGTTTTAAATCATTGGACCCATGATTAAAGACATTCCATTAACCATTTTCACCAACTCCTGTCGCCTAAGACATGTTATAATTTAAAACTTTATGAATCTTGATTTAGAAAATTCAAAAACTTTATTGTCAAGATCCTTGATATCAAATCACCAAGATAATTAAAAGTGTGGAACATACCTTAATTTGTTGTTTTGAATCTTGAAGATCAACTGTAAGTTCTTGATTTTGACTTCTGACTCTTCAATCTTGATTATTGCTTCTTGATTCTTGATTTTTTGAGAATTATTGATCTTTCTCTTCAATAAACTTTCTCTTGTTATTCTTATGTTAATGAGATAGCACAAAGAATGATAATCACATATGAATATGAGATAATAACCCTATATATATATTGTTATGAATTTTGAATCGCAAGATAATGACGATAATAAAATAAACGAGAAGAAAATAAATTTCAAGATTTACGTGAAAATCCAATATGGGAAAAACCACGGGCAGAAGAGAAAAATCCACTAAAATCAATAGTTATTGTGTTTACAATATCAAGATCTCAATTATCTAAGCTCTCTAACTCTCAAGATATTGTAGAATACTTATGTAATAAGATACAATGTGGAATATATATATATATATATATATATATATATATATACATCTTTGTTGGAGTTCTTGATGAAGAAGAAGTCATTTTTCAAGCCAAACTCTTAATTCTTGATAAATTTTGATCTTCATTAATTTGGACTCTTAAAAATCCAAATTCCTTAGACTTCTTTTATTCTACCAAATCCAAATAACATGGAATTTGGATCATACCACAGCAAATCTCCACCTTGAAACACATTCCATCATAACGAATTCAAGACACATATCTAAGTAAACACTATTCATTCTCTTCCAAACAAGCCCTAATGGACTAAATCAATGACAAACACTCACTGAATTCAAACAACGTTAAAACTTAGCAATAGGAAATGATTTTTTCATAATATCAGCAAGATTATCCTCGGTTTCAACCTTGTTCACTACAATATCACTACAAGCAATCACATTATGCACAAAATGATACTTTACATCAATGTGCTTAGTCCTCTCGTGAAACATCAGATTCGTAGTCAAGAAAATTGCACTCTGACTATCATAGAATACTGTAGACACCTGCAAATCTTCACCGATTCCACCAATAAATCCTCACAGCCACATAGTCTCCTTACATGCCTCTGAAATGGCCATGTATTCTACTTCTGTTGTAGAAACAGTTACTGTATTTTGTAAAGTAGCTTTCCAGCTGATAGAACATCCACTAAGATTCTAACTATTACAAAATACTGTAGATATCTGTAAGTCTTCACTGATTTCACGAATCAATCCTCTCAGCCACATAGCCTCCTTCCATGCCTCTGTAATGGCCATGTATTCTACTTCTGTTGTAGAAAAAGTTACTGTATTTTGTAAAGTAGCTTTCCAGCTGATAGCACAACCTCTAAGAGTAAACACATACCCTATAAGTGATCTTCTCTTATTAAGATCCCCTGCACTACTTTCCAATGTTCCTTGTCAGGATTTGCCATGTATCTACTAACTGTACTAACTGCAGTGCCAAATTAGGTTTTGTACAAACCATAGTATATATCAGCGCGAACCAACTACTTTGGAATAAGGAACCCGAGACATGTAATAAATGTCTTCATCTGACTGAGGACACAAGTTAGATGATAATTTAAAGTGGGCAGCCAAGGGAGTACGACAGCCTTCGCATTCATCATATTGAATCTTTCAATCACCTTCTCAATATACCCATTCTGACTCAATTACAATCTTCCAGCCTTTCTATCTTTCAAGATTTCCATACTAAAAATCTTCTTTGCTGCACCCAAATCCTTCGTATCAAACTCCTTACTGAGTTAAAACTTCACTTTTTTGACCTATGCTTTATCTTTGGCTACTATGAGCATATCATCAACATATAATAACAAATATGTAGTTGATCCACAACTTTCCTTTCTGAAGTACACAGAACCACCATAATTACATCTATCAAAACCATGAGTTGTCATGAATGAATCAAACCTCTTATACCACTACCTCGGTGACTTCTTTAATCCATACAATGATTTCTTCAACAAGCACACATAGTCTTCCTTCTCTAAAGNCACACACCGTTTTCTTTTCCAGAGACTATGAACCCCTCTGGTTGTTGCATGTAGATGCTCTCCTCAAGTTCTCCATATAAGAATGGTGTTTTGACATCCATCTATTTGAGCTCCAAGTCATTCTTAGCCACCACTCCAAGTAAGGCCCAGATGGAACTATGCTTCACAACTGGTGAGAACATATCTTTAAAGTCAACACCTGGAATTTGACTGTAATCCTTTGCCGCCAATCTAGCCTTGTATCTAGTGTCTTCAATCCCTGATGTGCCTTCCTTTCTTTTGAACACCCAGAGACAAAAAATATTAATCAATTTTGAATATTCAAGTTATTCAAACATTTGTTTTCAATAGATAACATGGTCAATTTATTCAATTTTTATTGTGACAAAGTTGATCGAAGATAAATCTTGATTAATTTCAAGTTGGAGAGACTTTTTTTTTCTTCTAATGTAACTGTAACCGGTATGGTATTTGACTTACTTGTTTGACATTTAGTTGCTTTCCTAAATATTCTATTCCATAAGTACAAAATCAAACCAATATTTTTGTTTATATTCTACAATATGGTTATAAGATATCTATGAAGTCAAATTTGTAGGAACAAAAAGTGTCCAAACAATTTGTTAACGGAAAAGGAAAAATAAGAAATAATCAATGATTATCAATGTTTCTAACTTAGCTATAGTGGGAGAAGATTTGGTAAATACACTTCGCACTTGTAATGAATTCAATTTCACATAAAATAGGAAATAAACTTCTTATTTGCAACAAGAGTAAAATTTTACACACTTTCTCACTTTGCACAAGGCTCACAGCCTTTAGAGAAAAAAAAAACAAATTTTTATTGCAACAAAAATAACGATATATTATTAAGGTCATAAATATTTTCATAATGTAATAATAAAATGGAAAAAATTAAATCACATTATATTTAACCATATGTTGCACCCAATTACCCCATAGAAGGCACAAATTCACATTAATTAATAACATATTGTAGATCGAGAAAAAAAATTTAATCCCACACACAAATCAATGATCCGATCAATGGGATATTGAAAAAATATAATTGAATTTAGAGACAAAACTATATAGTAATCAATTAAATATATGAAATCTATCAGTCAATGTAATTAAAAAAAACTTAATAAACGATCAGATCAACAAAGATGTATGTAATGATATATAAATATATACCGAGAGGGTGTTACACAAAGGAATGAATATTCCTAATCTAGACACTAATTCTGTGATTGACGATATCATTGTTGGAGTCTTATTGTTTGGAGCAGCCGAACAAGGGTAAACGAGTATAAATGACAATGAAATTTTAAAATAAAGAAGGAAGCAAAAAAAGTTTTTGGGCCCCCTAAAGAGCTGGGCCTGAGGCAACAGCCTCTTGGGCCTCTCCTCAAGTCCGGCTATGCCTCATATTTTGGAGACGCTTTATTGTCCCTTCGCCTTTCTTGCTTGTTGTAAAGAGTTTAAGGAAAAGCTTTTTAAAGTCTGGCTAGCTTCTAATACTTCATCTTGGAAGCCTAGTGTACCACACTTCAACTGTCCTAATTAGAGTCAAGTGGAATGCTCTGCATTGGAGTTGAAGCCCTTAAGCTTATGTGAGTTTTGAAGTTGTTGAGGTGCTTTGGAGGGTCACCTCCTTTCATCGTATTTGGAAAGTTTTGTGAGCGTGAAGTAGCTTGAAAAAAGAGCATCGCTGATTCCCTGAGAGAATGGCAAGTTGTCATTGTCATTGTCAAGGTCGCAGGACCTCTGTGGTTCGTCAGAATCTTCCTCTTCTCCAATTTGAGGCCCTGAGGTGGTTGGGACGGGCCTGCCCGATTCTTGACCTTTTTTGCCCTCCTTTCGTGCCTAATCCTAAGTGGAGGATTGTAAGGCATGCTGCCATGGATGTGTTCACTTTGCCTTTCAAACTAGGGTGGTCCTGAGGCCTATTTCTAGGTACAAAGGGAGGCTGAGTCTGCCTATTTCTAGGCATAGCTAGGCTTAACTTGTCGAAGATGCATATCTTTGAGGTGTGTCTTCCCTTTCATAATTTGGCAAAAAGTTGATTGGGATCTCGTTAGGTTGGCTAGTGGCATAGTTGGTGGAAGTGTCAATCCCAACTTCCATCTCTTGAGGGGCTTCTTCCCAAACATATTGTTGGTGGGCCATTTGGCTTTGAAGTTCCTCTTCGTGATAGAAATTTCCCTATAGGATTAGGGGATGGTCAGGGAGGTGAGCATTCCCTTGAGCTGCATACGGGGGCATTGGGCCTCCCTTGTTTTGCATGTTCCTCAGTAGCTCTTGCATCGTAATGTTCTACAAGGTGATGTTCCTTATGTTGGCGGCCATAGTGGCCACTTCCCTAGTGAGTTGGCAGCTATCCTGGGTCAACCTCATGGATGTTGATGATGAGGTCAGGGATGGGCTGTTGGAGGGACATGCGAGGGTTCTCCTTCTTCAGGGTGTTCCTCAGCTCTCCGAGAAGCCGACTCTTCATTGTTGGAGCTCATGATAACTTTTTTTTTTCTTTTTCAAAAATAACTTGGCCTTACTTGCTGAACAAATGATATTCCTTTTTCAAGAAATAGATTGGATTTAAACAAGTGGTTTTCTTTAGACTTTTTGGTGTTTTTTCTTCAAGAACAAACCCCATTTTTTAAAAGGCAAG